TACTACTTCTAATACTACTACTAATACTATTACTACTACTAATGAATAAATAATAATATTAATATTATTATAATTACCTATTACTATTATCATCAACATTAATATTATTTACAACACATATTCTACAAAAATATACAAATGAAACTAATTTTAGCATCAAATGTGAGACTTATTCTGGTCTAGTTAACTTCAGTCATCATGGATAACAAATTACATTTTACCTCAATATTTAACATAAAAAGTAACAGTTAACTCCAATATTGAGCATGAAAAATGAGAAATATCTCAGGTTTGATGGCCCTAGCATGGCCCCTACTGGGCCATGCTAGGCCTACTGGCCCATTCTAGGCCTACTGTCCCATGCTAGACCTACTGTCCCATGCTAGGCCTACTGGCCCATGCTATGCCTACTGGCCCATACTAAGCCTACTGGCCCATACTAGACCTACTGGTCCATGCTAGACCTACTGGGCCATGCTAGACCTACTGGGCCATGCTAGGCCTACTGGCCCATTCTAGGCCTACTGTCCCATGCTAGGCCTACTGTCCCATGCTAGGTCTACTGGCCCACACTAGACCTACTGGCCAATACTAGGCCTACTGGTCCATGCTAGGCAATGTTTACCGACCCATGCTAGACAGGGTTTACTGGCCCATAGCAGGTTCTACCGGCCCATGCTAGGCCTACTGGCCCGTGCTAGACAGAGCTTACTGGCCTATGCAAGCTGGGTCTACCAGCCCATGCTAGACAGGTTTTACTCACACCCAGTCATCCCCACTCACATAATTATCAAAAATTATTTTGAAATTATCCTGAAGGAATTGGCTTAAATAGCTCTGCTTAGCAGTTAGTTTAATTCAACTTATCACAATCAAGGTTGAAACATTTTAGCTCATTCATGTTATAGTCATATTCAATTTTGGTCTTTCATTATTACCGTCACCCAAGATTGCGACGGAATTAGATTAGTTAGTATTACTGGCAGCAAAAGTAGTAGTAGTAGTAGTAGTAGTAGTAGTAGTAGTAGTAGTAGTAGTAGTAGTAGTAGTAGTAGTAGAAGTAGTAGCAGTAGTAGCAGTAGTAGTAGTAGTAGTAGTAGTAGTAGTAGTAGTAGTAGTAGTAGTAGAAGTAGTAGCAGTAGTAGTAGTAGTAGTAGTAGTAGTAGTAGTAGTAATAGTGGTACTAATAACAGTGGTAGTAGTAATGGTAGCAGCAATAGGATTAGTAGTAGTAGTAGTAGTAGTAGTAGTAGTAGTAGTAATAGTGGTACTAATAACAGTGGTAGTAGTAATGGTAGCAGCAATAGGATTAGTAGTAGTAGTAGTAGTAGTAGTAGTAGTAGTAGTAGTAGGGTCCATGAACTAGTACTCAGTACAATTATGGAACAACGTAAGTGTTTTTCATATATAAAGATTTCGTAAATCTCATTGTTCGATCATGTTTTTTTTTTCTTTTTAACTCTCTCTTTTACATGCTTACAGTTCCATTCATCTACTCTTTTCTCTCTCCCTTCCATCTTCTCTCCCTGTCTCTCTCTCCTACCTTCTCTGCCTCTCTCCAGTAATCCTAGATTCTTCTCTTCCCTCATTTCAACACACCTACTTACGTACTGTTCCCTCCTGCCCTTTCATTAACCATGCTCCTTGCAGTTCCCTTCCTCCTCAACCTCATTTATCTTTCTCCCTCTTTCTGCATCAGTGACCAACACTTCCAGGGGTACATCGTACTACCACACTTCTCTCCGTTTCTCCTGTCTTCACCTCAGTCATCCTCTCTCTCCTTCACTTATTTTGTATTTCAAACTCTCTCTCCACCGTTAACTCGGGCACCTTTATGTTCAGCTGAAGACGTCTCTCCTACCCCCGCTGCCAGACTCTTTCCAGCTTTGAACCCCAAACGGCCTGGTTATACAACCTTCGCTTTCCCAAAGCTGGAATTCTCATTTGCCTGTTTATCTAGATTTCTCCAAGTGCTGGAATTCCAACTTCCCTCTCGTAACGCAAAAGAAGTTTTTCTTATATGCTTTCTCGCTTTAAGGCGGTTGGTAGGATGGCAGGTATTGTCGATAAGTATTTTAGAAAGACACGTTTAATTCTTGGTAGAACTGTATCTGTCCGGAGCGAAACGGTGTCTGTACTGAAGGAGCATGTTTTTATTGCCCATCTTTCTGTATGAAGAGAAATTGCCTGGTATATCCACTAAGTCTCTTGAATTTCCTTTATGCTCTGAAAATCAATTTTTTTCTCTCGCTATCCAGATTTCCAAGCGAATCTGAATCCCTTACCTGATAAGCTAAAAGAAAAAGTTGCCTGAGTTCCTCCAAGAACGGAACTTCAATTTTCTGGTGCATCGCTGAAGGCTATGCCTGGATTTCCTGTGTGCACTTTCCAGCGCCTAAGGGTTCCATTTCCTTAATAAAGATTTTCCCAACAGCTGAGCTCTGAACACACCTGACGTGCCCCGATTTTCCGAAACATTTGGAACCCCCTTCTGTTTTCACTTAACAGTACCCAGAACTGGAATCCCAAAGAACCAAATCGCTTTTATTCTTTCAGGAAAAACTGGAACTTCATCATAATATTCAGAAGACTGGAATTCCAGCCTTCTTCAAATCATGTTAATGGTTTACAAAACCGACAACAGAATAAGACACAGAATCAACACTGGTTGACGAGATGCCTCCACAATGAAGATATTCAAGAGTTGCACACGTGTCTTATTCATCTGCCTCGTATGTCTAGATTTCGCACAATTAAATAAGTATAACCACGGTAGGGGTGAGGCTGGAACTCGTGTCAAGTTAGTCGTAAAACTCCAGGCCAGTTTGTTCACAATTGTGTTGTTACAGTTTCGTCAGTTATCATAATCTACCTTATTAGTGTTCCAAAATATTACTCAAAATATTAATGGGGTTTCTAGAGTTCCTAAAATATTGAGAAATCAATTTACCCCCATACAATAGATGAAATTCCGCCTGATAAATTAGACACAAATGCAATACATAGGTATCTTTAATGAGGAAATGGGGGTGATCAGTCCCTCAGCCTGATCTTCACTATTCTTCCTTGTATCGGACTGATGAAGCCACCGTGTGGCGAAACATTTCCTCAATAAAGATATCCAAATGTTGCACATGTGTCTAATTTATCAACTTGTCGGTTCTCTGAAGCATTTATCTACATAAGATAAACTCGTATGGGTGTAAACAGCACTTGGGAAATGGGATGCTAACAGGTTTAATTCGTGATCGGGAGACAATATCCAATTTTTTTTAATCAAGGTACCCCTTTTTCCGAAGACAGGAAAATGAACTTAACTTGATTTTTAACCCCTGTACTACAAATACCATGTGCAATAGAACAGCTGCAGTGAATAAAAGACATACTTTGTCGAGCAATGTTTTATTGCGACAGTATTTCGATCTATCAACATCTTCATCAAGTCGTAATCTAAACAGGTCGAAACTTCGCCCCAATAAAAGATTCATCAGCAAAATGTGTCTTTTCTTCTCTATTGTCAACAGGACACTTTTCAGCTGCAGGACAGGTGTAGTCTGCAGGTGTACTTAATTAAAAAAGCGAATTCCTTCTTACCTGGGGTGTCCCGTGAGACGGTGTCGGGGTTTCTGTTGTGTACAAACACCATCTCCTTGTTCAACTTCACCTGTAGGAAGGAAGAAAACGAATTGATGAATAAGAGAGATATACAGAACTTGGGTGTCTGTACTGCCTAAAGGTAACACTTACACAACATTTTTTTCAGCGGGACATAGAAATAATTTCAATACTAAGGACAGTGGGAAAAGTCCCTCAGCCTTGATAGAAGGTGTGCTCAGTCCCTCAGCCTTGATAGAAGGTGTGTTCAGTCTCTCAGCCTTGTAGAAGGTGTGTTCAGTCCCTCAGCCTTGATAGAAGGTGTGTTCAGTCCCCTAGCCTTGATGTAAGATATGTTCAGTCCCTCAGCCTTGATAGAAGGAGTGTTCAGTTCCTAAGCCTAGAAAAGTATTCAGTCCCTCAGACTTGACAGAAGGTGTGGTCAGTCCCTGAGCCTTGATAGGTGTGTTCAGTCCCTCAGCCTTGATAGAAGGTATGGTCAGTCCCTGAGCCTTGATAGGTGTGTTCAGTCCCTCAGCCTTGATAGAAGGTATGGTCAGTCCCTCAGCCTTGATAGAAGGTATGTTCAGTTTCTAAGCTTAGAAAGAAGGTGTTCAGTCCTTCAGGCTTAACAGGTGTTCAGTCCCTCAGACTTAACAGAAGGAGGTGTAAAGTAAAAGGACACAAGTGCAACTAATGTGACATTTTATTGTGGCAATGTTTCGCTCTCCAGGAGCTTTGTCCTTTTACTTTACATATTGTTGGTAATTCTTCCAACATTTTTACAATCTGTCGGACATCGCAACATAATTTACACTTAACAGAAGGTGTTCAGTCCCTTCATTCATGCGCGCAGGTAATATTGTTAAGAGAAAAACAAGATAATATTTAAAGAGAAAAACAAGAGTTAATGACGATTATATCACAAGGACCCCCAGTTCTTATTTTATTATGAGAGCTGTGAAGGTTTCTTGATTCAGTCCCCCCTCACACCACACATCATCACCTCCACTACCATCACTCACCACACCCATTGCTACCACCACCCTCACCACCCACCTGCTACCACTACCCTCACCACCACCACCACCACCACCACCACCACCCACCTGCTGTAGTTCCTGCTCCATCCGTCTCAATCTGCCACGCCGCTTTCAGCAGCAGGATCACCAGCAGAGCCATCACCAGGATACAGGAGAGTGATGCCACCAGCACAATGATCATGGGCGGTACCAATTCAAGGAACCTGCTGTGGCCGCCCACGTCCTCATCCTCATCGCTTTCCACACTTCCCACACCCATACCAGAGCCGCCCATACCACCGCCTCCGCTGGGAGAGGCACTGCCGCCGCCGCTGACGATGCCGCCGCCACCGCTACTACGACCGCCGTTCACCGTCGGCATTCCTGAGAATATATATATATATATATATATATATATATATATATATATATATATATATATATATATATATATATAGTATGTATGTATGTATGTTTGTATATCATTATCATGAAAGAAAAAAATAAAGAAGAATAAATAACAAAACTACTATAAAAATTAAATAAATAAATTAATATTAATAATAACAAAAAAAAAATCCGATAATAGATCTCAACATACGAGAAAACTGAAAATAAATGGTATAAAATACCGACACAATGGAAACATAAACACATATGCAGTTTAATGTGATCCTTTATTGACAACGTTTCGCCCACACAGTGGGCTTTTTCAAGTCACACACAGATCTACCTGGGGTGGAAGGTACGGGAGTATTTACAGTCAGGTTCAGAATGTTGAGGTCAGGTGGAGAATGCTGCATCTGATGATCTACCGGGTGGGGTTAAAGAGTCTTGGGTAGCTTGGCAGGGGTATTGGACAAGTTGTGAGTAGATCTTCTGCAGTGTTCTATGTTCTTATGTGGGATAGCGCATTCTGAGGAACTCAGAACAAGGGAAGAAACTTCTGCACACCATACCCAGCAACCCCATACCTGCCAGAATGTACGGCCTACCAAAAACTCACAAGCCTGGTATCCCATTGAGGCCCATATCTTCGGGAATAGGCAGTGCTCCCCACCAACTCTCAGGAATTCTCGCAAAACACCTCTCCAAACTCTTGGGCACTATCAGTCCAGCACATCTTAAACACTCGGGTGATCTTCTCAATAGCATTCGCAACATCAACATCAGGAACAAGAAACTTTCCAGCCTTGACGTAACTTCCCTATTCACCAGAGTACCTACTACACAAGCCATCGATCTCCTGCGCAGAAAAATTGACGATTCACTTGATCTTCCTATTCCAGCCAGTGATTTCATCGACCTCGTTGAACTATGTGTCGGCTTTACGTGTTTCTCTTTCGAAAATCACCTCTTTCAACAGACTTTTGGTCTACCCATGGGCTCGCCACTCAGTGCCGTCCTGGCGAACTTATACATGGAACATCTGGAAGCCGAGCGTTTCTCCACCATTATTCCTTCGACTGTCACCTGGCTCCGTTATGTTGACGACATTCTCCTCATAACTCCCAGGCGCTTCAACGTTCAAGCTCTCCAAGACAAGCTCAACCAGGTCGAGCCCTCAATCCAGTTCACACTTGAAGAAGAAGTCACAACACTCTTCCTTTCCTTGATATTCTTCTCTGTAAAACTGACCATGAACTTCGTTTTAAAGTCTATCGAAAACCAACCAACCAAAACGATCTTCTCCACTTCTACTCTCACCACGACACCAAAACTAAACGTGGTGTAATTATAGGCTTCTTCCTGCGCGCACTCAGAATCTGCAGCAATGAGTTCCTTGAGGAAGAATGCACTATAAATGAACAAGTATTTTCTAAACTCTACTATCCTCGTCACTTCATCAGAGACTGCAGACGGCGGGAATTAAACATCTTCAACACACCCAGAGAAGACACTGCCGAGAAGAGATACATAGTCCTCCCCACCAACTCCATTGCCAAACATGTTTCCAACATCTTTTCCAATACATCATTCCAGGGGTATACATAATCCCTTGTAATGACTGCAACAAATTATACGTGGGCGAAACATCAAGAGACCTCCAAACACGTATTTCAGAACACCAATATGCAAGCAGGACTGACGATGCAAGGAATACCTGTGTACAACATCGCAATTCACACAACCATTCAATTAACTACAGAAACTCAAGACTTATCGCCACAAAAGACAACACTCAATACCGAAGAATCCTGGAATCATCGCTTATCTCCATAACCAACAATTTCAACCAGAACAACGGCTTCTATAACATAGCTGAACCCCTCGCCAAGAAACTTCTTCATTGCTATCCCACATAAGAACATAGAACACTGCAGAAGATCTACTCACAACTTGTCCAATACCCCTGCCAAGCTACCCAAGACTCTTTAACCCCACCCGGTAGATCATCAGATGCAGCATTCTCCACCTGACCTCAACATTCTGAACCTGACTATAAATACTCCGGTACCTTCCACCCCAGGTACATCTGTGTGTGACTTGAAAAAGCCCACTGTGTGGGCGAAACGTTGTCAATAAAGGATCACATTAAACTGCATATGTGTTTATGTTTCCATACGAGAAAACTAAACTCAGATTACAAACACAGAACAGAGTACTCTTTGTCTTCTGTTAAGAGATTACAAACACAGAACAGAGTACTCTATGTCTTCTGTTAAGAGATTACAAACACAGAACAGAGTACTCTTTGTCTTCTGTTAAGAGAAGAATAAGAAGAAAAACGAGGGAAATCTATATAAATAGGGAAAAAAGAGGCAAGTTGTCTGGATAATGCATGTTATAAGTGAACTCACGAAGAGAGAAAGAAAATATCGGACATCAAAAGAGACGAGGCTTTGGGTAATCGCTAATGGCGTCTAAATTTGGAAAATCTGCTCTTTCGTGGGGAATTATCTGAATTCTGCTGTCTCTGAGTTTTTTTTTTTTTTTTGCGTATGTGTGAGTTTCTCGTCCAGATTTACGCAGATGAGATATATTTTCGGGACTAGTTGATAGGGTTGCTGCTTCTTCTGTGCGCATCTTATAAACAATTAGGCTGCAGAGTTATGTGTTTGTTCTTCCAGTGGTGAGGGTGCAGTGTGGTATGTGTTTGTTCTTCCAGTGGTGAGGGTGCAGTGTGGTATGTGTTTGTTCTTCCAGTGGTGAGGGTGCAGAGTTTGGTATGTGTTTGTTCTTCCAGTGGTGAGGATGCAGTGTGGTATGTGTTTGTTCTTCCAGTGGTGAGGGTGCAGTGTGGTATGTGTTTGTTCTTCCAGTGGTGAGGGTGCAGTGTAGGTATGTGTTTGTTCTTCAGTGGTGAGGGTGCAGTGTGGTATGTGTTTGTTCTTCCAGTGGTGAGGGTGCAGTGTGGTATGTGTTTGTTCTTCCAGTGGTGAGGGTGCAGTGTGGTATGTGTTTGTTCTTCCAGTGGTGAGGTTGCAGTGTGGTATGTGTTTGTTCTTCCAGTGGTGAGGGTGCAGTGTGGTATGTGTTTGTTCTTCCAGTGGTGAGGGTGCAAGTGTGGTATGTGTTTGTTCTTCAGTGGTGAGGTGCAGTGTGGTATGTGTTTGTTCTTCCAGTGGTGAGGGTGCAGTGTGGTATGTGTTTGTTCTTCCAGTGGTAAGGCTGCAGAGTTGTGTCTGTTCTCTCGCTGGTAAAGTTGCGCTGCTATTCGTCTCTGCTTTCTCAGTTGAAAGACTTCAGACCAATATGTGTTATCCGTATTTGCGGTTATAACACACAAATCAATAATTTCGCTTTTTTTTATGTTAGAAATAGCAATTTGGTACCTGTACAGCTGAAAATTATACTGAACCTTCTATTTTTGATAGATGCCTCAAATTAAATTGACCGCCTGTTTGTGTGCCCCGGTGACCTGGTGGCTAAAGCTCTCGCGTCACACACGGGGGGCTCGGGTTCGATTCCCGACGGGGTTGAAACATTTCAACATTTTTCCTTACACCTGTTGTCATGTTCACCTAGCAACAAATAGGTACCTGGGTGTTAGTGGACTGGCGTGGGTGGCATCCTCGGGGACAAGACTGAAGACCACAATGGAAATAAGACAGACAGTCCTCAATGACGCATTGACTTTCTTGGATTGTCCTGGATGGATAACCCTCCGGGGTTAAAAATCTGAAAAAAATCTTATCTTGCTGCCGTTCAGAATAAACATTCCCAATTTATTTCACCCAAAATTCAGCATAGACATAATTTTTGTAATTTGCTGATTAGCATCTACACATTACAGGAAAACTCCAAATCATCATCATCTTTCTGGGATACAATTTAAAGCTGAATAGGAATGGCTCTCTCAAATTATGGCGAGTCATCTACCACGCTATTTCCATTCATAAAGTTGGTAAATTGGTCCCTACGCGGCTTAGTGATGATCATATTGTTTCCTAAATGAGATACACCAGCAATCTTAGAAGAAATAAATTCTCATTCTCTCAACTCACTTCACCCCTTCAGCTTAATAGCGTTTTTGAAAAATAATTATTAGTTGCGTATAAAACAGTGTTTGAGTTTCATCACAATAAAAAAAACCGATGAACCGTATTACCCGTCATAATTTTTAGTCGGTGTGCGTGACGCCCGTGTCGGCCGAATAATGTCAGGGGGAAATTTATGGGTGGAAGGGTCGGCGTCACAGGCTGCTTCAGGCATTGACCGCTGTTCTGCCTGGGTGATTAGTTTCCGTGCTTTCACAAGGGTAGTGCTCATTACTGTGTGTGTGTGTGTGTGTGTGTGGTGTGTGTGTGTGTGTGTGTGTGTGTGTGTGTGTGTGTGTTTTGTGTGTGTGTGTGTGTGTGTGTGTGTGTGTGTGTGTGGGGTTGTGTGGTGTGTGTATGTGTGTGTGTTGTGTGTGTGTGTGTGTGTGTGTGTGTGTGTGTGTGTGTTTTTGTGTGTATGTATGTGTGTGGTGTGTGTGTGTGTGTGTGTGTGGTGCGTGTGCGTGTGTGTGTGTGCGTGTGTGTACCGTCTTAAGGACGGTGTATCAGAGTGCTTCAGGGAGCAAGTCTCCACAGGCTTTCTTCACTTGCCTTCGCCAGATTGCTGTCTGCTGGATTAATGGAAGCCAGTTAGAGCAAGACAGAGAAAAAAAGAAAGGAACACGGAGAGAGAAAAAAGGGTAACTGAGTTCTATTATTTTCATAAAGAGATGAATAGGCAGAATGAATGAAGAGATAATGGAAGAGATAAAGGAAGGTAGAATAAAGTCTATAAAATAATAAACAGGAATTAGAACATCGAGAAAGAGTCAGCGAATGATCGAGGAACTTGGTATAGGGGCGACTGAAGAACTCGTGGTCCTGGACCACAAGCAAGTCAATAACAGAGTGACCTTCCACAGAAATAATGACAAGGTCCAGTGAGAGAATCATATAGAAAAT